GATACGAGTTCAACTACAAAGTTACGGGTAGTCTTCAATGCATCATCTCCATCATCTTCAGGCGTGTCTCTTAACAGTTTACAGATGAATGGCCCTATTATACAATCAGATTTATTATCAATAATAATGAGATTTCGCATGCGAGCTATAGTTCTATCTGGAGACATAAAGATGATGTATCGACAAGTTTTGTTGAATCCTGAAGAGCGAAAATTACAGAGAATCATATGGCGATTCAATACGAGTGAACCGATTAAAATTTATGAACTTAACACAGTCACTTACGGTACAACAGCGGGATCCTTTTTAGCAATACGAAGTTTATTTGAAGTCGCAAACGAGTGTGAGAATGATTATCCAAATATCGCGCAAATAATTAAAAAAGACATGTATGTTGATGACTTGCTCACAGGCGTAGACACACCAGAAGAAGCGCAGTCGGTTATCAAAAATATCATGCATGTTCTTTCTAAACGAGGATTCGATATGCGTAAATGGAAATCTAATTGTCCAGAAGTTATTCAGAATTTCAATGCCGATCAAGCGGAAAACACGTTAGAATTTTTTATTAACAAGGAAATCGACAGTAAAATTCTAGGTCTTACATGGGTAAGTGACAGCGACATTCTTAAGTATAAAATATCTCCTAAAAATGACATTAATCCTAAAAATGTAACTAAACGTATAATTTTGTCTCGAATTGCTACTATTTTTGACCCTCTCGGCCTAATCGGCCCAGTTATTATAATAGCGAAGAATTTATTACAAAAACTTTGGGCTAAAAATCTCACATGGGATCAGCCATTACCCGAAGATATTTTAAGCATTTGGACCGAATTTTCATTTGAACTTAACTTATTAAACGACCTTTTCATTACTCGTAAGGTGGTATGTGATCGACCTACTTACCTTTCTTTACATGGTTTTTCTGACGCGTCAGAGTCGAGTTATGGCGCATGTATATACGTAGTTTCGAAAAACAATAAAGGTGAATGTGAATCACATTTATTGTGCGCGAAGTCCAAGGTTTCGCCTTTGAAGTCCCTTACAATACCGCGCCTTGAACTTTGCGCAGCTCTCATATTAGCAAATTTGATTTCAAAAGTTCTCGAATCCATAAACGATCATTTCGACGAAGTCTATTGTTGGTCAGATTCAACTGTAGTCCTTGGGTGGTTGCAGACCTCTCCAAACTTGTTGAAACCATTCATAGATAACCGCGTAGCGGAAATACAAAAATTAACAAAAACATTTACATGGAAGCACGTACCGACAAAACATAATCCTGCGGATTTGGTGTCGCGCGGGATGAGTCCAAAACAAATAATTGATTCAAAATTGTGGTGGCACGGACCAAATTGGCTCCGTTCTGGAAAAAATGAATGGCCAGAAAGTCCAATTATTACAGAGGATCTACCAGAAATGCGAAATATTTCTTTAATTTCTAATACTTCTTCGAAAAATTATTTTCCCTTTGAAGATTTTTCAAATTTAATACAATTAAAACGCATAGCAGCATACATTTATAGATTTATTTTTAACTGCAAAAATCCGATTGAATCACGCATTTTAACAGCAACTTTGTCAGTTTCTGAAATCAATGACAGTTTTAATCGAATCATTAAAGTTGCACAGTTAGAGTCATATCCTATAGAGTACTCAACCCTAAAAGCTAAGCGCGAGCTTCCATCCACTAGCAAAATTTTAAATTTAAAACCATTCTTAGATAGTCAAGGACTAATACGCGTAGGCGGCAGACTATCCAATTCCGATTTTTCATTTTCAAAAAAACATCCGATTCTGCTTTCGCCCAGCCATGCTCTTACAAAGCTAATATTTCAATTTGAACACGAAAATTTGTTGCATGCAGGTCCCCAATTACTTTTAGCAAATATTCGCGAGCAATATTGGCCGACATCAGGACGCAGTACTGCCCGTCAAATGGTACAAAAATGCGTAAAATGTGCTAGATATTCTGCCAAAAACGTTCAACCAATAATGGGTGACCTACCAGCGGCTCGAGTACAACCAGCTTTACCGTTTTTTAAGGTTGGTGTAGATTACGCGGGCCCTTTTTTAATGAAAGATCGACGTGGAAGAGGGTGCAAACTTATTAAGTGTTGGGTAGCTGTATTCGTTTGCTTTACCACACGCGCAATCCATCTGGAATTAATTTTATCTCTTAATTCCGATGATTTTTTACAGGCTTTTAATAGGTTTATAAGTCGCCGCGGAAAGCCTTCCGAAGTTTTTTCCGATAATGGCACAAATTTTGTTAGGGCCAATAAAGAAATTCAATCATTGTATAATTTTTTTGAGGAAAACGGTCCAAAAATTTTGAATTCAGTAACCAATATTGGTATTAAATGGCACTTTATACCAGCAAATTCGCCGCATTTCGGGGGAATCTGGGAAGCAGGGGTGAAAAGTCTCAAACATCATCTAAGGCGAGTATTAGGTTCATATACTTTATTTTTTTATGACTTCCAGACTTTACTTGTACGTATTGAATCTGTTTTAAACTCCCGACCCATTTGTCCTCTCACTTCTTGTCCAAACGACCTTTCCCCATTAACGCCCGCACACTTTCTACTTGGAAGAGCTGGAACTGCCATTCCCGAAGGTACCGTCCTACATCTCAAAGAAAATTACCTATCGCAATTCCAATTGGTCCAAAAAGTATACGAGCAGTTTTGGAGCCGTTGGCAACGTGAATACGTCAGTGAGTTACAAACCCGACAAAAATGGACCAGAAACACAGGAACTTTAGAAGTTGGACAGCTGGTTATAATAAAAGATAACAACCTACCACCCATGAGATGGCGCATGGGACGTGTTTTGGAGCTTTTTTATGGTAAAGATGGAGTCTCCAGAGTAGCAATGGTCAAAACAGCTGAAGGAGTCGTATCTAGAGCTTTGGTGAAGCTTTGTCCATTACCTGTTGAAAGTTCTACGGAGAACCTTTCAAGGAGGGGGGCATGTATAGTACGCCCCTGTACTACCGACCGTTCGAGCAGAGACATCGCCGGCCGCCCGAGCGAGAGAGGGGAAGGCGCCATCGCGCCGACGACGACAGCCAGAGAGGTGAAGACAGACACGAACGACACAGGCCGCCAGCAACAAGTCGGCCACGCATAAAATAATATTTTTTCGATTTTCAATTGTCAATACACGTTTATTTAATACAAAACCAGCGCATCATTTTTGTGTACATCAGCAGAACACGTTACAATATCAGTATATCAGTAGACAGTAGACCAGTGGCCAAATCAGTAGATCTACTGATAAATTAGTAGACCTGGCAACACTGCGTATGTTACAAACCCCAACGTCTTTCAGGCGTCTGCCTAAATACGTCTTCAGGACTAATATTTCACTCACTGAAATTCTTGATTTCTTTTAAACAAAATTAATTTTGAAAGAGAAACATTAGAACAGCCAGGATTAAAAATTAAAAAACAAATCAAGCGCCTGAAATTCTAAAATACGAGAATAATAAGAATTCAAGAACTTGGAATGAAAAAATTCAAAAGCCAAAAGAAAGTTAGGAATTTAGAATAAAGAAATAAGAAAAATCAAGAGCCTTGAACTGAAAGATAAACATTTTCTTGCTAATATTTCCTTATTATTACTCATCACGGTTTCTAGTAACTTCTAAATCGAATGAGAAACGAATTCTGTGGAAAGTTTTTGTAGACATCTTAAAAACGTCCCTATATAAGATATCCATAAACGACATTCAAGACGCTTTTTAGACGTCTGCTTACGTGTTGAAGGTATTTTACAAATACCTATCTTAAAGACGTCTTATGTAACAAAACATTCTAAAGACGTCTTCAACGAGATGTCTTGGACACGTTTCTGACTCTTTTTAATACATAAACCATTATTCACTTTCAGGTTGTACCAAATAGTGTGGCTTAGTTGTCTTTAAGATGTGAATTACGACATCTTATGGACGTCTAGTACCTACGCAATGCAGACTTAAAAAAGACGTCTTTAAGAGTTTATGTGCTGTCTGGGATGAAACATATTGAAAGATACAAAATAGAGATAAACGAGCAAATCAAAACATAATACAGAAACGAGAAAACAACAAAAATATGAAAATACCTAATTAGATTCATGAACGCAATAATAGGTAAAACAAATAGGCATATACCAACCAAAGGAGAAAACTTTTATACCTTATTTCATTCCTCAACTACTCTGACTCCAAACATCACTGTTCTGCTGAAAAGTGATCTTAGATATAACAATCAACGAAGACTATTTTATCCCTAAGGAAAAGAGGGACGTGAGTTTGGAATAATTTGGAAATGATTCAACTCAGATAATCTGTAATATTACTTTCAATAGGTCTTAACAAATAAGGCAAAACAGCGAGAGTTGCTAAATATCAGAAATTACTGCGTCGTAAGAGACCCATATGAAGCTCAACTGCCAATATAGTGTTTTGTGGAAGATTGAATAAATACGAATGAAAAACTAGAAATCCACCTAGCAAAATTTTGTAGAAGTATGGGGCAATATTCCAAGCTTTGAGTAGAATATTTATTTCAAAACATATTATGCTTTTTAAACTAGTCTCCAAGCCTCTCTGAATAAATCCTAATGGAAGTCTATTTTAGGAGCTGGAAATAGATGCTTTATATAGAGTATCCGGAATAACTTGAATTACATGGGGATTTTGGAAACCATTGAAGATCAAATGGGACAAATAATATGTCATCAACTTCTTTGAACTCGAAATAGCAATGGATATACAGGGCAAAAAAGAAAAAAGTGCGTTTTATAAAATCCTTTAGGTATATCAATTGTTCATTATAAAAGATACAATCAAAAAATTTACAGGGTAGGTGTATAAGTATTCGGTTGATATACCACAATAAACACATGTAAATTGATGAGGAACAATTAAGGTTTTATTTGAAATTTTTTCATTAAATTTTTTCAAAGCAGACTCTCAACAAATAGATATATTGGAAAAAAAAGCTTACCTTTAACAACGAAGACATAATAAATCCAATTAAAAAGGCAGTGCACTAGTTCATACTAAAGATGGTACTAACATCCATAAACATGGTACTCTTTACTTTATATTATCTCATCATGAACCCAGTACCGATGTCAAGGTCGCTAATCAAATTACGTCACACGGAAGATAGATCCTTATTGTTGGGATTTTCGTGGCACTTGATTATTAATTCTATACCATGCCTATAATGCCGAGGATGATGTATTTTGTTGTTTTAAAAAGCGGTTGATTGCTACTATTTTTTTGATTTCTACTGGTATGACATACCGAAATATTTTTAGTATGTGTGATGGGTATTTCCAATACAGTAGTTTTCATGCATTATCCATTGATTAGAGACAACGGTGAGATTTAATAATTGCTGTGCGCGATCAAAATTTTCACTTTACAACAGAAAAACCAATACCGACGAATCTGAAATGCTACTGGTATGGTAGGTATATCCAGAATATGGTTGAAAAATATTGGAGCTTGTTGCATGCATTCGATTTTTGATACCTAATTATTCATCATTGTCAATTAAGGGCCCCATTCTATATACTATACGTTGTTTATCGTCCAACGACAAAGGACTTAGTGTGTGAGGCTCATTCATTTCATTTGTGTAGGTATAATGTTTATATTAAAGGTGTACTCATGGAGCAAGGAGCAAGGCAATTATTTCTATTCTGAATAAAAGGGGTGAAGAACCGATTTAGAAAATATCTCACACGAGAGATGTAGGTACCTAATATTTTATATAATAAATCATTATATGTATTTGAACTTATTGCAAACAAATATCTTGTTCCATTCACCTCATCAAAAATATAATAAACATTGTCTATAAAAACATGAAAATACTCCATGTTTGAAATCAGAACATTACCCTCAATATTTTAGAGATTTTTCAAAATACACAAGGCATTAACTTAATAATTTTCATTGAAAAAATATCCACCAGACAGGTAATCTTAATGAAATTGAGCAAATATTTTTCAAAATTCCGTGTATGTATAACGCATATCGGAACCATTTTCTATTTTTGTATTTTCATATTTTTATAGTGAATCATTTTTAAAATGTGTTTATTGAATTTTCTTGTAAATTGTATGTTATTTTTATTTGATTTTGCCTTTATAACATTTATACCAATTAAAAAAAAAAAATCTCCATTCAAACTAAATGATTAACATCAGATATTTATAAAACGTTTTATATTCCGATGTTTATTTTACTAATTAAGTTTCAGTTTCAATAATATTCAGGTGATTCCCTCAAACTCTCAATTCGGGTATTTCCTACCGGATGTTCCGTTAAACATTGCAATTTTGTAAACAATTTTTCACGATTTGCATCAACATTAGTTTTCCCACTGACAGTAACTGCTTATTATTCAATTATTTATATCGAAACAAAGGTTTTACTATAAAACCAATTAAAATCGAATTTTATTGTTGTTGCAAAATGCAGGTTTTTCCGAGAATATTCTGTCACCTTATTCCATAAAGATTTTTCTGAAAAAATATGCATATACATCATTTCAGAATTGCTTTTTCCAAAGAATAATTTGTTTACTCAATGATCTATATCCTATTCACAATCTGTAGTCCAAAGGTACAGGTAAATTTATTACCTTTCCCTATCAAATAGCATTGAAAGGTGATAAATTTCACCTGTACCTTTGGAATACAGATTGTGTATAGATAATACGTATAAATTTCGAAAACGAAACATTCTGAATATGCAGCTATTTGTGATATTTTCAAGTTTAAATGAATGTTATTGAAGTCATACCTACTAGGCGTTTATTTTTGTAGATCTGAAATTCTCGTCTTTTTGAATCCCTTATTGCCTGTCTTAGGATCCTTAATCATAATTTTCACAATAATTTTCCATTAGTTATTAGATTCCAAATACCTAGTCTTCATCAATAGGATGACCCTTTCAATCCCCATTGCTTGAAACTACTGCCTATTGTGTATCTACTAATTCGTACTTTTCTAGAATATGATGGTTTTTGTTGTATGTTTAATGCATAGGCGCCGGAATTTCAAAATTACTATGGGTGCTCGTGCTCCAAAAATTACCAGAAGTAGAATTATTTATACAGACAGGACCAGACTACTAGACACATAGGCTTAAATGGGACCAGTTGACAGATAACAATTTCACTGCAGGTTCGCCCCACTGGATCATTGATCGTCCCTGCATAATATTAAAATTCGTGCATTTTCGGCAGCTCGGTTATATTCGGCTTCGGCAGCATTATTATTGGAGTAGCCAGGATTTTGTCTTAAGGAGAAATTTTGGCCTTTTTACGGTATTTTTGGGACTTCTAATGGTGGGGGCAAGCGGGGATGCGGCAATTTTCACAAATTTTGATAAGAATTTATAGTAGAACGTTACTTTTATTATAATATCATATATATCACGGCAAAAACATATATTTTGAGAAAGAAAATCAAAAAAACGAGAAAAAATATAAACTGAACCCATTTAGGAGATATTTGAAATCCCCCTGACAAAAAAATTCAAAACAGCCTTTATTTTTATTTACTTTTAAATTTCAAAGCATCCTAGATGGAAAACGAAGAGCCTGGGAGAAAAGCCTCAAATACAAAACTTGTAGATCTCATTGAGAACTACAAAAAAGTTTATTAGAGTTATCCCTCCACGGGGAACCGTTTTTGAGAAAATCTACTTCAAAACTTTCAAGCCATTTTCAGAAAAATTTCAAATTTGACGGCTTATATCTCGGAGACAGAAACAACCTAGAACATCAATAAAAAACAATTTTGTAGGTAATTTATTGCTCTTTCGAAGGAAACCTGATTCGAGACAATCTGTTCGCAATTACCAAAGTTATAAGCGAAAAAGTGGCGCCGTATCGGATACCCAAAATTTTCCAGGGTCAAAATCTTTTTTATTTTTTTCCGGGTTTAGGAAACGTCGGAGCGAAAAACACCAAGAGACTTTTTCAACGTATTTTTGGCTCCTCTATCCGGCGGTTTATTTTATTTTTCAAAATTTGGGAAAGTAAATGCAGGGCGTTTATGCACCATTACACGCCCTTTTCCAAAATTGGGGGAAGAGGGGCTAAAGCCCCTCTGGAAGGTCGGAGAGGGCTGAAACTTGGAATATCAACTTTTCTGGACCCGTCTCACCTATATTCCGAATTCCATCCGAATCGGCCAATAAAAATAAATATTTAGTAGCTATCAGGGGGCTTTGCTTTCCAGATAGGGGCCACCCATATATTTTTTTTTTTCGATAAAAATCGTACTCCAATAGATTCGTACCAAATTTCAGCTCGATAGGACCATCGGTTCGCCATCAGCGAATTCTTGTTTTTTCCATGATAAACTTGTTAAAAAAGCCAGTGTATTGGTACATCATGAAAACAAACGAAAAGGAAATAATAATCAAACGACTCATTGAAAATACAGGTTCAAATACTACACAACAAAATATTCAAACTGTTAATGTAGGTATAGCAAAAACAACGAAAACATAAAACACACCAATTTGATATAAAAATAAATAGTTAGGAACTCAATATTTTTCTACCTACCCACTACATAGACATATAATACCTAAATTACTATGAGGGCTTCGCCCCCATAGAAAATCCACTATGAAGGCTCAAGCCCCCATTGCCCCATAGTTTTGGCGCCTATGGTTTAATGAGATGGGCGTTTCTTAGGTAGGAACTTTTACTTTGCATTAGTAATGATGTCTCAGGTAACTTAATTTTTCAAATAAATTTTTTTTCGTTTGTAAATGATCACTTGTACTAAACTTCTGGAACCAACTGGAGTTTTATATCTCATTTTTTGTTTATGTTTGCAATTTTGAACAAAAAATACGCCTAGAAAAGGGTTTGTACAGTATAGTATAGACTGGCTTAAGGTAATGTTGTGGGCATTGCTGTCGTTAAATTTTGTTCAAATTCTTATAGCCTAGCCTAGCCTATCCTCACCTAGCCTAGCACTTTCTAGCCAAGCCTCACCCAGCCTAGAAAGAATGAATAAAAAGCAAAAACACACAGATTTTTTTCTTATAAGTGATATATTTAAACCATTTTAGATCATTCGTTTTCTAGGTTTATTTAAATCGCTCCTACTGCCCAATTGCCAAATAACAATCTCTTGGTAGTTGAAGAGCTGCCAACCAAAGCAAACTCAAAGTGCTCGAAGGTGGGAATTTGTGAAACTTTTAATGATAAATTTAATGACAGCAGCTTTTGGCCTCGTGTTTCGCAAGCCTAGAGTCAGGCAAGAGGCAACAAACACTGCAAATTTTCAAAGTCTGCAGAGGAACCCCAGAAGTCCTTAACATTTTACTATCCAAATGTTAGAGGAATTAGATCCCAAATCCATACTTTGATGTGCAATGTTCTGGTTGAGAATTTTGATGTTATTTTGCTGACGGAAACATTTTTGGATCCTAGTGTATTATCTAGTGAGCTGGGGCTCGATGGTTACTGTGTCTTTCACTGTGACAGGTCAGAACAACCACAGGGTGGAGAGTTATTTGCTATAAAAAATGCCTTGTCCTGTCGACAGCTCACTAGGTACCCCAATAAATAATATAGAACATCTTTTGGTTGTGTTGTCTATTGGATCTCATGAAATTATGAATGGGAATGCATATAATCCTAGATCTTCATCCGTTGAGGTGTATGAAAGTTTTTGCCTCTCAATTGTTCAATTAATGGTCCAGCATGACTTTACAGATGTATTGCTCTGGGGGGATTTTAACCTGCCTAAGATAACATGGGTAAACAGTGCAAATGGAACCAGTCCAATTGGATCCTAGTCAAATGAAGCTACAGTAATTGCAGATTGGATGGCTTATCTTAGTCTGTATCAAAATATATAAATTCCGAATAGGTATGGAAATTATTTGGATTTATTGTTCTCGAACCACAAAGATGTCTCTGTTACGATAAGTGCCAGTCCATTATTAAAATTAAATGCTCCACATCCAGCATTTGAGTGCATTTTCTCTCTTAAAAATAAAAAGGATAGCTTACCCTCTGACTATTTTTACTATAATTTTAAAAGAGCAGACTTTAGGCAAGT